GTACAAAACGTTTATAAAAAGCGTAACGTTACCCGATTCTAATGTGATCGTTGTCGCGATTCTTTTTTTCTCTCGGGGTTCAAGTGAACGATCCATCGATCGGGTAATGAGAATCAATAACAACACCATAGCCGTCGTACAAAATGAAATAATATATAAGTATATATTGAAAACAAGCGAGTTATTTAAAAAGAATGTATAAAAAAAAAGAGATCTTAAAATATCAGTGACGCCAACATACACAATCAATCACAAACACAGAGAAGTTAATCATTATAATGCCATCTCGTAGAAGATCTACAGTCGTGTAAGTGGTAGGCACGTTAGAACTGAAAAATGAATATTTTACACGTCGTATCCAAAATCTTAGATTAGTACGTGTATAATATATCTGTGCAACCCCTCCTTTTCCCCATAAAAAACAAACGAGTTTTCAGTTAGACGAAGGCAGTAATTTTCTTGCACGAGTACAAACTGGGAGACGGTTATTAAAAAAAGATGAAGAAGAAGAAGAAGAGAAAGGAGGACGGTGAGGCACACGGCCACCGTGTTACTTTTTCTCTCTTATCTAATCAAACGTCGTGTCTCCCTAATTTAATCGCTGTGATTAAATAATGATCGTTAAAATTGCAAATCTCTCCGGCAGCTACGATCGCTTGCAAGTTTCCTTGAAAATTTATCTCGTGTTTTTGTTCTTTAGTTTGTTTGTTTGTTTCATCCAGCGAACGAAAATGGCACAAAGCGTAAGCGGAGCCTCGTCGAGGACGACGGGCGCGACCCTCCTGGTTTTATTCCGAAATTGAAACACGTGAACTCCGTTGACCTATTCAGCGAGTGACACTGCAAGCGCCTCCGTTAGTCGAATCCGGGCTCTCCTCTTTCCTCGATTTATTGCAACGATGAGAAGGTATTTTTAACGAGGATCGCGGTCGTGAACGATCCCATTCCGTTTACCCAGAGCTGGCGGTCTCGTTCTCGGAGTACATGGCCGACAGCTCGGACAGAGCCGCTTTGTTCTGTCTCACCATCTCGGCGTGCATCTCCTTTGGGACAATAGAAACAAACAGGTACTTTAAACCGCCGAACATTCATCCAGCTTAACACTAATTCTATAAACGGGGTATCATAAAAGGGCACCATGCTAACTAATATTAAGCTAACATATATTTAAGGAATGTACCGTAGCTAATAAATGCAGGGGGTCATGCTGAAAAGAATGTAAAAGGTATACAGGGTGTAAATCAAATATTGATCCTCCCGTGTTACAAGTCTCAACGTCCCGAAACGGCGAAAGAATCAAAAAGAACGGTACGTCACGAACGAGTCGTTTCCCCGCAAAAGGTAATTGAAGTTGGACCAATCGTGTCACGCGACGCCCCTCCCATCGCCGTCGTCATACTGCGTATAAGGACGAGTGGGGGAAGCAATGCGCCACGCGATTGGTCGAATTTCAATAAAGTTTTACCAGGAAACGGTTTCCTCGGGGCACACGGCTCTTTTTTGCATTTTCCTCGACAAGTCGAGCGGAACAGATGAACGGCAACAGAATTTAATTTTAACATTCGAGTCCCGGGTAAAATTTACGTCCTGTACAGATATAACGAACAACTGAATTTCCCTGGAAGGTTCGCTGGAAATGTATGGCGGGGAAGAATGGTAACAATCTCGAAACGAAAATTCCTTGGGTCGTGACCTACGGAAATCACGAGACACCTACTGAAACCAGTGAGCGGAACAGATAACGTAAGAAGCAAGCGTCTACGGGGGTAGACGAGGGCATGGCAGTAAGACAATCAAGAGTATCGAAGTCAACAGAAAGAGAGCGAAATTACATGCTGGCGAATAGCCTCCACACGACGTTGAATTTCTCGCCATCGGTTCTTCTCCGCAGTATCAATCCTATGCGTACAAATGCACCTTATCTTCGGAGTGCTGTCTTCCGCTGCCTTGCGCATTTTTGCTACCTTCTCAGTGTTCTAAACGACCATTTCAAATTCCCTTGTTGGGTAAGTCTGTTCATACTGAGTGCGAGAGAGAAAGGATTTCCACTGGAAACGTCAACTGACCGAGAAACTGATCGAACATGACCGAGAAGAAGGAACGAAAAAGGAACCAAGTGTGACCAAAACAGAGAGCTACAAGAAGCGAGAAATCCTTCCTGCGTACTGCCCCAACGAAACCAAACCAATGGAACCAAACCATAAATCTAATTGTAACGGGTCTGGGCGATTCTGGACGGGCCCATGCGACTTACATGTTTACGTAGCTTTTCCTTCTGATCGCGCTCGATGTCCTCGCGACGTTCACGGGCCTGGTCCAGCTTGTCTTGAATTTGGGTCTCCAGCTGTTGAACGCGTTCGGATATTGCCTGACGTACGCGAGCCGCTTGTTCTTCCTGGACATTTAAAAACAAGCATTCAGTTGAACAATGATATAAATTTCCAGTGAACTTGTCGATTGATCAAGGGAGACGATCATGATTCAAAGAAACGACTTCAAACGGCGCTGTAGCAATCAGTGTCTTATCCAATGGACAGCTCTGTCGAGAAACCACCTTGAACAATCAATCAAGTTTACTAAAGGATTATCTGATTAACGATTGCACTAACATGTTCCTTAAGGCGAACCAGCATCCTCTTGATGTTGTCATCGCGTTGAGCAGCAGCGGTCTGCAGCTTCTCCTCGATGGCGCAACGAACCTCCTTGGTCTGCTGTTCAAGACTCAAACGACTCTTCTCGATACTTTCGAACTGTAAACGATACAGAAATGAACGGGCTAGACACGAAAAGAGGATTTAACGAGAGAGTTTAGTCTGATTGCAAGTTCATGTTTAACTGACATGTTCCTTCAGCTTGTTCTTCAGCTCCGCGATGTGTGCCTCTCGCTTCTCCTCAGTGTTGTTCATCTTGGCATGCAACGACTCGCGGGTCGCAGCGATGAAAGCGGCGCTAAGCTCATCCTTCTTGCGAGCCGCTTCCTCGATTTTGCTAAGCTTAGCGGCGAGAGCGGCGAGCTTATGAGCCTCCAGCGAAAGTCTTCTCTCCTCCGCCGCTCTGAGCTTGTCCTCGATAGCGACTTGTTGAGTCGGGCTCGTCTGCGGCGGCGACGGTGCTCTCTTCGGCACTGTCGGCTCCGCTAAGATCACCTCGTAGCAGAGTCCACCCTTGGATTTCTCCTGGCATCGAATCTCAGTCGCTGCGGGGTGGTATCGTGGATGTGAAATCGATCGGATCGAAATTACACTCCCCCCTCGTTCGTTATAATTAAATCAAGCCTAAGTATCGTGCTGATCCTTCTACCACTTGCTGCTAATTCAATTTATTGTAAGGGTTGCAGGGATCGATTTATTCAACCCTGTTCTACTTTCGAAGTATAACTGCGAGAATATCATACCAAAGTGGTATTTTCAATATTCTACAATCTCTAATAGAGAATTAGCAACTGCACGATCCCGTAGCAGTCTTTCCAAAAAATACCAACAAAAGATATACTCGTTTACCATTTAAACCCCAATCTCATTTGCGCAAGGTACTCTTACGTTCCATTCGAATAAATAATAAATATAAAACATTAACAGACAGAGACAATTAATTTCATCCAATTGCAGGGTTAATCGGTCGTCGCCATTCGTAATGTACCGAAACACGGAAACCCGCAGCCCCGATACCGGCGTGATTGAAAAAGCCACGATTAAAAAAAACGCCCAGTCCGAGAAGACACCGAAGAGTCTCGTCCATCTCGGTTCAGCCGCGAGGAGGTACGGGAGTCGTTTACGGAAGTATGACTCAGAGACGCGGAGAAGGATCGATCAGCCTACGGGACGATTGTCTCTAGGCGCCACGACGTCTAGCGTCGGCACACGCACCTTTCAGCTCGCTCAATCGCCACCCCAACACGTACACGGCCTCGCACCGCCGCCGCTGGAGCGACAGCTCCAACGTTCACCCGGTGTCGATTTATAATTCACCCGGCGACATATTGGCGACCGTGCCGGGTTCGTTGCACCTTCGCAACCACCTCGGTTTCTCGGAAAATCGAGTGTGCGGCCGATGCGCGGCCCCCGTCGATCGATTTTCCGGGGAACCGTGTTCGCGCTCCGCGGGAGGGTAAGGTGTTCTCGCCCGAAAACACTTTACGGTTCTTCTCGGGGCGCTGAGCCCTCGGCACGCGCGTTCACCTTGACTTTGGAATTCCCGATCCCCGGCAGCGGTCGCGGATCATCAACTTTAAAATCATTGACGGGGAGGGTAGCGCTTGCCGTGACGAGGCGTGTGTAACTCGGGGGCGATTAACGCCGGGGCTCGATCACGGACGCGTAATGAGAAGGTGAGCGCGGCGACGGGGCTTGTTAATTAAAATTATACAATACATATAGAAGAAGGTTTGTGCGAGTGTACGTATAAGAGAAAAGAAAACGAGCGATTCTCCAGTGGGTACTCACTGATGAACTTCACTTTCTTCGGCTGCTTGGTCCGCGGCTTTCCTTTGCCGCTCGGCTTCTTGAAGGGCGCGTTGCCCCTCCTATCGCCCGCTTCGAAAATTGAGAATCGATGAGAGGTGCCGTATTACCGCGAGGGACCAGGGAAACAGGGATCATGCTTTAATTATCGGGAAATCGATGCAACCGTCTACCCACTATCGGCCGACAGCAAACGGTGGCCATCTTGGGCCGCACCCCGATCGTTTTGCGGAGGTATTCCGTGGATCACGTGCGTACCCGACCGCCCTTGCGACCTTTGCGCGTACTTGGCCAGATTTTTCAACGATCGGAGCAGAGAATTCCGAAGAATCGAGGAGAAATTTCGATGCCTCGTTGATCTATTCTATTTCAGCGGGAATACAAATTTTGATTCGTTCGAGATTACCGGCGTGTTAAATGCTCGGTACACATGGTGGTGGAACCGCGGTGGCACAAGTGCACCATGAGTACCGATTGGTGGACGGTGGAGAAATTGATCGAACTGCAGGTGTCTAGGATAATAAGATACCAGCGGTGTATCGACCACCGTCGACTGCGGCGAAAATACGGCTGCCTTCAAGTTCGGAAACTGTATCGCGTGTAACGCAGGCTTTTTAAGGGAGGATAAAAGAGCGAATCTCTTATATTTCCATCAGGAATGATCGGAATGATTTCTTCCTTCGTAAAAAAATGTCTACAGTACTTAACGAAATAAATCGAGAACAACGAACAATTGTGTAATTTGGAAAAATCGAAACCGATGATCGTAGTCGAAATCGAGCAAAGAACATAGAAAAAAAGAAGAGAAGGGTTAAAGTACTCCATTCTCGTATTAAAATGAAAATTAAGCGAGCTAGTTCAACCGATCACCTGGAAATCGGTGAGAATCGTTCACCGTGTACGTCGGCTCCTCCCTTTCGAAGCCTCGATGCGCTCGGACACAGCAGCCTCGAAGCGGAGAACGGTTGCATCTTGGGTGCCGGTTTCCGGCGGATCGTGTACACACCGTGAACTAGCGTGGGACTCACCTACGATGCCCAGGGGTGCCTTGCAGCTGTGACAGAAGCACTGCAGCACTGAGTCGCGCACGAGACCGATCAGCATGTTTCCTAGCCGTGTGCTCTTGCTATCCGCGAACGAACGAAGTTAACGGTTGAAGCCGTAACGGAAACCGAAGAGGGAAGGTTCCGCGTGAACGAGCCGGGCGGCTACCGTGAGAAGGGAACGGAAAAAAAGGCGAAGCACCGGTGGACGTCGGGCGGCGAAAGAGGAGACACACGTCCGACTAGCGAAGAGGAGGGCCGGAAGTGGCTAAACTCGTATCTGGGGCGGTGGCTGGAGGGCGACTGATCCGCAGAGTGCGCCACGACAACCCGGCGTCGCTCAATATCCACCCACCGGGTGCCTCTTGCGCCCCTAGCCGCGGCGGACCGTCCCCCCGCCGCTTCGAGCTAGCCTACCCGACGACAAGCCACCCTTCCACCTCTACCACGCTAACCTCCAACCTCCAACCTCCACCTCGGGCAGGCTTTAACTATGCCTATATCGTGGACCCGGCTGCCGCGCCGGTCGCTAGGCACGTGTGGAAACCTACGCGGAGGCGTAAAATACCATCTGTCCAACCCCGACCACCCCTCCGAGCCCTCTTACACTTTCGGCTCCTACCCTTGATCAATGGACGGTGTATGCCCTCTTCGGGAACGTCTTCGCGAGGTTTTGCGGAAATATTTAGCCGGGCCGAGAAAAGCGACAAAAAGTTGAAGTTCGAATTGAAATTACGTCTGACCTCGACGTCGGAGGCTTTCGAATTTTCCTTCTTTTTTTCCCCGTTGCACGGGGGAGGGAAACAGCTACCGCGACGCCGGTACAATTCCGGACTTTTGTTCGTCCGGCTCTATTCCGCGAAAGAGGCGTTTCGTTGGGAGAATGGCTCCTCGAGGACAATTGTTTGTTCGAGTATTTAACGGCACGCGAAGGGGTGAAGCATGATAGACGATGATTTTAGAAATATTTGTAAGCTTGTTGCGCAGAGGTAACCTCGTTAAAACGGATAATTCATTGGAGCGTTGAGATGCTTGCGGATTGTTCTAGCAGAGCTGAAGTATCCGGTTAATTTTAGCCACCCTTAGGCTTATTATTTTTGGATTTTACTTTGCGTCGGGATTATTGAGTAGCAATCGTCTTGAGAAATTGTGTACTTTGTGTCGATATTCTTTAGAAAGGGAGCAATGTAATGTTAAGATATTCTGCGTCAGAGGGGTGACGTATCTGCCCGATCAGAGCTACCCTTGAGGCTGCAGCGTTCCTACTGAATAATAGACGATATCTTCGTTCCAAGATCTTTGTGAAACTTTTTCGTTTCTTTTTAGACTTTCTTTTCAAGATCCGTATTACGCTCTAATTTCACGTTGAACCAACATCTGAAAGTAAATTTACCGTCGTGTTGCTCGAATTTCATCTCAGGTTCGTAGCGAACTAGTTGATGAATGAAACGAAATTGCACGATTTAACAACGATGTTTGCAGGTGTTAAGTCATCGGAGCAAATGAAGACATAAAAAATTATCAGAGAGTAGATTTCTGTATTTCTTCGAAAAACGTTCCACGTCGTTCCGTGTGCTTTTACTTATACTTGATCTATTGATTTGGCTGCGAGCCTATTCTATTGTTCTTTCAATATTAGACTATTAATGAACCCAAGTCTTCCTACTTTTGTTCTCTTGAATAGGGATGCAAAATATCTTTCCAACCCCAATTAGTTTTAACGGTTTTCCAGGTTGATTTATGCCAGTGGACTTAATTAAAAAACTTCTCAAAAAGGGACGTTAACAACTCGACGTCCTCGAGAAGACATTCCCATATTTCATGCAGAGCAATCGGGTCTTAATTACGTGTTGGCAGTTCCCGAAGTACGAAGGCCATCTGTCCTGCCCCGTCCACTATGGAACCACTTATACTTTTGGCTCGGCCCCTAGCCAGAACACAGATCAATGGACGATATCTTCTTACAGCGATTTTCGTGAAATTCCGCAGTTCATCCGTAGATATCCGGCGACCGCTGAGTCACGCCAAAGAATGGAAGCGGAATCCCTCGATCGATCGGCGTTCTACGCGAATTGAAATCGTATCCAGCGTTTCGACGACGTTCTCAACTATTTCCGAAATAGATCTTCCTGGGCTAAGCTGTTTACTAAAACCGTCGGCCAATTTCTTCCACGCTGTCTCCGGCTCGCAGCCAACTTTCTGATCAATGGACACCTCTGCGGAACTCCGTGGTCTAGCTACATTGGCTAGTATCGTTCAACCGTTCCTAGACTCCACGTCGCTAGCAATAGGAGTGTAATAGAAGATTATAGTATCGCGTGTAGACCAGTCCGAGCCTAATACCACGCTCCGTAAGCCAACTGCTGCACAACGGCCGGTGATTGTTGCTCACTTCATTGATTTTCGAGTTTGCGAAGATTTTACGTAACCGTGCCCCATTTCGCCACCAAGCCGGCTGCGGATCTAGCTTCCCCGGCAAATCTTCGATTCCGTCCGGTTGGTTGCACCGGCTGGGCCGCAATGTGGGAAATGTCAACTTCGCAGTTGACATGCCGGAGGCCAGCCGGAATCCACGAAAATCTTGCATCAACACCGCCAGTATCCGTGTTAAACGCGTGCAACTCGAATTTCCGGGGATCGCTCAGGTTTCATCTTCTGCGGTATCCATTGAGATTTCCCTTTTTACCCTTCGATCTTCCACTTGAGTTCTCTCGGGCAATAATCTTCGTAATCATTTCTAAAGCGTGATTCTTTTTATTTTATTACGTTTTTACTTTATCACTGTTATTACCTTCGTTACTCGTTAGTCCTCTAATCATTCAAACATCTCGAAGCTGAAACGTGCAGTCTTGCGTCTATAGAACATCTAAACATTATGCATGTTCCTTTTTTTATTACTGAGAAATGATAGGAAAACTGTCATAAAGACTGGGTTACCGAAAATGCAGACGAGCTGATCACCAACAAATTTCCGGACACCGGAATCATCCTGCATTGTTCACGGACGTGTCCTCTAATTGTTTCGCAGCCCGAGCCACCCTCCCGGAGGCTGGGGAGCCGGCACAATTCAGCCATTGTGTTCCTCCCCGATTTTCCTCCAAATGGTTCATCAATATTTTTTCTCGCTGCCCCACGTCTATATTTGCTCTAGATTGCTCTCCGTCCGGAAACTCTCCCATCCTCTGCCGCGCGACTCGTCCCTCATCACCGGATCCATTCCTTTTCTTCGTCCTGGTATGGCATATCATAACCGCCGCGGTCTTAACACATTGCCGGCCAATCGGATCGATCCCCACTCAGGTTTTCGCTTAACGACACATTGCCGATCGATATTCGATTTATCAAAAATTAAATAACAACAGGATTAGCTGGAAATAATGTTTGCCACGCTGATTCTAAAAGAATGCTCTCACTTTTTTTCACATCATTTCCATTTCCGTACAGTAATATTCTCAAACAGACCTGACCGTCTGGTTGTTGACGTTTTCTGAAGAGGTCTTTAAAAATTCCTCGATGCGGAGCGGAGCTTCACTCTTGAATTCCGCGCATACTTCAGCAAGAATATCCTGTTACATCGGGTGTCCCTCAATTCGTGTATCCGTAATTCGATCTCCTTGTTTCAAGCTTCTCTCCTCCAACACCGAGACAGCAGGAACATCTTGGACCAAGCGTTCGTCGTTCAATCATAAAAATATTACAATATAATTTCAATGTTAGTAATCATGAAAAGTGTTATATACATCATCGTACCAACAATGTCAAGACGATGACACATCAATGATCGCTCAAATATCATGACAGTCCTGCTAAAATTAAGATATCTCATAATACCGTCAGTGCTAACTGCTCTCCAGAGAAATCATGTGTACATAAACACGACGATCCCAAAGAAAGCTACATTCAGTGAAATTTCAGCAATAGACGCGACAAGTCCGTGGAAGCGGTTGCCGGGTACATGCGGGGTGGGCTAGAATTCGCGCGCCGTACAGTTTTCCGTTCCGGCGGATCGAAGAATCGCAGTGCCGGTACCCGACGTGACGCATTACGGCCGAAGGATACGTCCGCAAAGTGAATGAATCTTCCAACGGCGGATCGATATCGTGGAATATTTTCAGAAGCAGGCACACACCGACCCACGGCGGGTTGGGTGGAAACAGGAGGCGACGTTAATAATGCATTCGCCCTCTTTTTCCAGTGGTCACGAACCGCTGGTAAATTGCGCAGAAATCGGAAGCACGGCACCCGTTATGGAAGTGTCTCGAAACCCGACCGCATTGTTTGGCAAAGGTTCCGGATAACTTTTCGATACGCCACGCCATCCCCCGTATAAAGGCAATTCCCCGAACCAAGGGATCATCCACCAGACTTATGGGTGAAACGACTGGAGCGGAGACCAAGGAGAGCCGAGCCGGGAGTCCCCGACAGCCAAGCAGGCACACCAGATCGACTGACTCTCGCCGAAAGAAAAACCGGAGGGAGGATCGATGGATATTACAGAACGATGCCATCCCGTGCTCAGCCTTAGGCGCACGCGATAGGCGAACGTTACGTAATGAATTATTTAAGAGGTATTAAAAAATAATTGGCGCCGCCCGCAAAATCAAATGGAGCGTGGGTAACGGGACGCGGGAGTTGGTTTGAAGTCGATCGGCTTAAAATCGGGAGGGGAAACACGTTCAATTACGGAACAACTCCGCGGGACTCGCGCTAGAAAAATAATGTATAGGTATATATATATATATATACACGTGTATGCCGCGGGGAACAAAAACCTCTCGAGTTAAAATTCATCGTTTACCGCGGGCGGCGCACCGCGGGTTAAAGAAGTCTACCCAGTCGAAGAAAGAAAAAAATTCGCGGAACTTGATCCCGCAAGACGTTTAATGAGTTTCGCCGGCTCGTTAGATTTAATTGGATCTAAAGAAGCGTTAACAAATCGAGAAAAAAGGAAAAGAGAGATGTAAAAGGTAAAGAGAGGCGGAGGAGGTGGTGAGAGGTGTTCCCGTTCGACCGTGTAAAAATGCATCGTTTTAAAACGTGCTTTATCGACGTTGCATGCCCTTTAAGGCGGGAGGAAGAGGTTCGAGACCAGGAGGAGAGAGTTTCTCTCCGCGGGAGGAAAAGATAAAAAAGAAGAAAACGCGGTTGCGGACTGTTCGGCTCGATATATCATGCGCGTCGCCGGACAATCGGATTAACCTACGCACTTCAATGTCAACGTGTGCCGCGGTGCTCTTTGCGGCGAACGTACATACGCGCGTACTTGATCCAGTTTTTTGATCTCCCGTTGTAACTAGATACAAAAACTATTCCTTCGCGATTCTTTCTCCAAGTAGACTGGCATTAATAGTGCAATGTATCGGTAATATTAAGTTAAGATGAATCATCTCAATGTTGCACAAATAATAGAGTATAAACGTAAACAAGTTTCTCTTTTATCGCGAAATAACGCTCTAGAATTGTCTAGCCAATAGGCCAGTAAGCAGCGAAACAAACGGATCTACAGTTCCAAATTTATCGGAAATACTGTTGACCCATGTGAATCAGGATATTGTCAATAAACAGTTGAAAAAGAAACGTGCGTACTCGAGGGAGCGGTTTTTCAAGCGAGGTACGCGCGATTCGATCCCGTTTCCCGGCCGATCGGCGTTAAGCTGAAACGATTCTGGTCGCGACTAGGTTCTGGTCGCGTGCTGCTTTGCCGGTCGACGCCGCGTTGAATTGTGAAATGGCATTATTTATCGATACCCGACACTCGCGCGGGTGTCCCGTCGCACACCGTCCTCTCCGCCGGCGGCCGCCGGTAATGGGAGATCGATACAATTGTTTCGCATTGCGAAATTGGCGATCGCGCCGCGAAATTGCGCGCTACGGAAACAAATTTCAACGATCTCCCACGGTAGGGCTTTATCGTTCGCGTTCCTTTATTAACGGATTATTCGTTAGCGCTCCGATTCATGTCGACACCCCGATAACGATATCGGGGAATTCAATGTCTTGAATCGCGGAGGATCGAAACAATACTGTTTGTTTGTATTTACCGCGGTCCACGGGTTGATAACATCGGCAAACGGTGTGTACTTTGTAAATTCGATTTCACTCGCGAGTCAATTACCGTTTTGCAATGGAGTTCGCACGGTTGATTTTGATTTTATGAAATGGCGTTAAATTACTCGTTGGTTTCTTTTTTATGTATGCAGTTGAATCGATATTCACGGTGAAAGGCGAATTAGCTTTAAGAGCCGGGGAAACGGACTCTAGTCACTTGGGCACTGACACCTTTTGGAGAACGGTTTCATTGGTTCGTTGTACATCGGTGGTAACATTGAGCAGAACGTGCACGTGCTGACGAGTATTGCAAATATTAGTTTCTGTGAGGTACATCGGCTAAATTAAATCTGAATTGAATAACAAAGGATACGAACTGTCTGTTCGATAATAATTTTAGAATTACATTTCCAGGAGAAAGGGAATTAACTTATTTCGAGAATGAAACTGAAATAACGTCCGGTAAACAACGTCGTTTTCCCTTCAATGTTAATTTATAAATGAAGCAATTACATTTTAAGGAACATAATCCACGAGTGATCCGATTGAAAGCGATAATTGATCTCAGAAATCACAGTATTTGTACAATGTTCAACGATTTTCGTTTCGCCGGCATTTCATTGGAAATGCAATTTATTTCCGGGGGTTGAGAACCACTGAAAGGCGTTCAAGCACTGCAGTCAAGTCAGGCTGCAGTTGCCACGGAGAAGTGCAGCATGCACTTCTCCGAGGACGCCAATGGAGGGCTCTGACCTCTTCTCAGCAACTATCTACTTTCTGCTGCCTTAGGGTGTGTTCCTACTGCCACCTAAATTGCCTTACTAATTAAGGATCCTTTGTCGCGCTGACTTCGCATTGGGATTGCCCAAAAATCATGTTACGCACTATCCTGCTCGCTTTTTCTTTGTTCGACGCGATTTCGGTACATTACTGGCGACGAGTTGGTTAATCTTGTCGCAAACGTCGGATCAGTCCTTCAAGGAAGCTACAAATGCGGCAGAGACGTTGTAAATTTTATCGTCCACAAATAAATCGATCTGTATTTGCGTGTCGGTTCAGAGTATTTCAGATAGTAAACGCTCCATTCAAATTAAAATAGTACACGCGATTGTAAAAATAAAATAACGTATTCACTGCAATAGAGTTTTAAAATAATATTTATAAATATCAGTTTATTCCAAAAACAGAGAGTACAATGGGAATTTCTTTTAAAATATTTCTCTTCGTATGATTGAATGAAAGCTATTTGGCGAAAGTTCGTTTACTATGCAAAATACTATTTTAATTGTACCGAACGGGGTTTCATATTTTAAATGGTATTTGAAATATTTTTATTCGTAATGTTCCTTAGCTCTGCTGCGTATCGGATTAGAAAGTCCCGTCTACATGGAATCTTTATTAATCGATTTATTTAACACACTTTCAGATATTATTTAAGATTGATAACAGCATTATTCGCGTCGGTCAATGTCGATACTTTTTATTCGGTATAGCGTATACGCGAAACGGATATAGGCTATTTTGCCCATGTACATAAATGTCATCACTTACATTCATTGTTGACAGGCGATTCCGTTGCAGTAGCCATTGCAGGATCACTAGAAGAAAACACCTCGATCTCATGAAACTAATACGCGTATCGTGCGAATCAGAATATTATTTCAGATTCTGATTATATTTATTATCATCTTTTCATCTGTCCCACACAGCTCTACAATGCTTTATTTTGACAAGCGTCGTCCGCTCGAGTCACGCTCTTCGAACAAAGAAACTGCACAAAGGAGCAACGTACCCATTTATTTATTGTTTTCATTTCCCTAGAAGCTAATCCGATCGTTGATAAAACGCCTCGTTAATCGTGTGAACGTTTTCAAAGTTTGCCTCCTTTGTTTATTTTATCTTATCCAGAAGTAGACAGGTAAGATTTTCAGCAAACAAAACTTATCATTTACTGCGGGTTTGTTGTTCTTACGTAAGGAGGGCAGCTGCGAAAAAGGCAAAGGGATTCGGGCTCGGTAGAAATCCTTCCCCCCGATAATTCGGTGACACAATGTCAGAAATGTCCGTGTAGTTTGTCGCAGCGGTCGTTTACCCGGCAGAGAAAGGAATCTTGGATAGTTTTTCACGTAGTTTAACAAAACAAGCGTTCAACAGACCCGTTTGAACGTGTCCGTGGAAAGCCAATGGGTGCGATTTACTTCTACGCATGATCACCGTTCAAGAAAACATACCGCAGTCACGCTGCAAATCGAATCGCGGAAAACGTCGATCGCGTTGCTGCCGGAAAAAAGGTAAATGAACAGGACGCGCTCTTTGTTTCCCATGTCAAGCAGGAGATCAAGTTTTGCTGGTGGCACATGTACGCTGAACGACCGGCACGGCGTCTCTTTGTTCGAATCGGTAGCGTCCCTGTGTATCCCTGCACGCGGAACATGTCGCACCGATTTTCTTGTAAATGCTTTCGACTTACCTTTTGCACCTTGGATTAACAAAGAAACGTAGCGTCGGGTATTGCACTGTGTGTATGGAAATAACGCGACAGGATGGAATCACGTATCACACTCGACAATAATGCAAGCAGATCTGAACGGTCGCTGGACTCGCTAGCTGCTTTTATTGCGACATGCAAGTATCCCTGTGTATTCCAGCGATTCACACCAGTTACCGTTTGGCTACACGCATAACACGCGCGAACACATCGAAACGTCTGGAACGTCCGCGCGCCCCCATTGGCCGCTCCGACGAATCGGCGCGCCGCGATTCGCCCGTTTGAATCCGGAACGTTGTGTTAAGCCGTAACAGGCATGTCACGCGGATCGGCCACCACGCACTCGCAGTACCGTTTCATTGTTTAAAAGTATGGTGATTGTAAATAGGACGGGTTTCGAGAAGGTAACCGTAGTTTTGTTTCTTTTCGTATTTGCTTTGTTTACCGCGCGGATATCTGTACTATCTGCGTCGGACAGCAATACCGAGACGCAGACCGATTGGTACAAAGACGTTTGTACCGTTCGATGAATAACTTAAAGACAACGCAATAAAAGTACCATATCTGTTAATTGTGAAATCAAAATACAATGTTCGGGTAGGTATTATTATTTATGAGATTCATCGGGAGGAGTAACGATAAATATGATTGGCGTACTGTAATTTTTACGATTTCAGTACGATAAATTATTTGTTTAGTTTTTTTGTTTTTGTTTCTTTTTTTTGGAGAGAGTTAGCTTTGTAGGATTATGCGCGTCTACATATTCGAGCGGCAGACCGTCAAGCCGTTTAAAAAAGATTCATTCCGGATGAATCATATGTCTCTACATCTCCAGCAACGTGCGACCAATATGTGTGGGAAGTTCTGCGACCGTTGTGCGACCATACGAACATAAAAATCCGTTCCAAATATGGTCGAGTCGTTATAACTGGTTCCGATGATTTTACGAGAAGACGCGATATATTCGTTAAGATTTTAGCTAAATGTTAGGAGTTTCACTTTCACCAATTCAACTTGTCATATTTTTCTTATCATTAATCGTTAACAGAAATCATATGTTTCAGCAGTAAACAGGGGAACCATAGTTTACTGAAAGATATTGATCGCATATTTTTGAAATTTTATAAATTTTGAACGTGATTAGCGATAAAAGTATTCAAATTCAATCATAATTTTAAACGAAACCATTAATCTGCAAGACAAAGAAAGATTTATTTCAATCAGTATATATATTTTGTGTAACTCATCTTTCGTAGTAAAATATACATGTCAAAGTTGCACATGGTAATACATTTGTATCAAATCATACCTTATACAAATAAAACTTATACTTATATCTCCAGCTGGGCAGTGTCTTTGCATTTAAATATCATAATTCATGAAATTATTGAGCAAATATATAATAAATGTATTGTTCATAATTGTTGTCTGAAAATGTAATTTCACTGAGGTAGAATATATTAAGTATTATACAGATATAGAAAACGGAATAGCGAATGTTTTAACATTACATTTATATGTCATAGAGATTCTACATTAAAAGACTGTTATTTAAATTCATTTCTGTTGTTTAGCGTAACATAAATATCTGTCTATCGTGACATTGTTGAATATTCGTAGCAAAATGTCTAGAAAAAGTTCTAGAAAAAAAGTGTATAATTTGTACTCATAATAAATGCTTCCCATCAGTAAAGAATGATCAATGCCGCTAAAAAAGAAAGAAAGATCATTCATCCCTGATTTAACTTACTCATTCTTTTGTTTACAGAACGAAGTATAGTATCTGATAATCAATTGTCCTAGCTACTCGCAGAGCACAATATTGTCTCAGCTCTCGTCGTACAAGGGAGTACCGTCACCGCTTAGGGACATGCTGCGAGGACTAGAGTTCGTAAATGGAGTTCCTCTGGGAGATTTATACGATGGTGTACGAGCAGACGGTGTTCTACACCGCGAACTCTCTCTATCGTTTCTAGTGTCCTGATTCCGTGGCGTTTTTCGAGATTCATCACTGTACATTGAAGTAGAATTATTAAAAGTGTGATTATGTAGATTCATATATAGTCAGATCGTATGTAACTTACGATTCTTTGGAAGTAGATTGCTTTGAACGCGCCCAAGCTTCAGCAGCTTTCGTCCAGTTTGTATTGTCATATGTAGCAGAAGTAGTTCTCTGAGATCTTGAAGGTCTATGAGAATTTGAATTAATTGCAGGGGGAATAGGTTGTAAGAATGACCCTTGGTGATTGCTGGGCGTCTGGGGATGATGTGGAGTATGGTACGGAGTCATGAACGGTGTCTGGCCTGAAGGTGTATAAGGAGTACTTCCGTATATTCCATAGTTATTGACACTTGCAGCTCCTGGAGTATGTGGTGGATAATGATGCGGAGTTTGACTTGCAACTTTTGAGAGGGAATGTAGCATATGGTGTGGCATATTCTGAGCTACTCTCTGTATAGCGTCTGGATTCACTCCTACATTGTAGATATAATTTTCTTAGAGTGTAAGAATACTGATATGCCCGAGTTGTATAAAAAATACTATAAAATTTACCACTAATTGCTGGGGTACTATTGTATGGTGTTCTGGAAGTTACAGCGCCGTGGGGTGTACCAGGCGTGATTTGGCCTGGTATAGGATCCCTGAAATGTTCTTTAAACCAACGGAACAGATCGCTCAATCTACTAAACATTTGACCTCTAAATTTAAATCCATCAGGTGTTATAGAAATATATTCATGACGGCAACGAGTTCGTGGAAGATACGACAGCAAAAATTTTCCAGGATAATTCTGAAATAAAAAGAAGCTAATTAGATGCAGCATACAAATGCTGAAACAATTAATAATTAATTTTAAACGAGTGTTACCTTAGCAGCGGATACAATATATGGTATTCCGCCAGGATTTAGTTTCTTCTGTTCTTTTATAATTTCCTCTCCTTTATCTTTAATGCCTTCTATTGTCGATTTAAAGTACTTAAAGTCTAAGAGTTCCGAAGCATACGAAGCCATTGGATTAACATGTCTTGCAATAATTTCATCCAAATCTTCAAACTCTTCACTGCCAATCCATAAACTGCGTCCTAAGGAAAATGCATTCTCTTTGCCTTCTTCCCTTACATCAATGTGCTGATAGATATTTTCTGTAACTTTCCAAGTTACTGTCAAGTGGTCGGATCCTTTGCTACTCGGCCGTATTATCGCTTCTCCTTGTTTCATTGATCGCATCAATTTGTCAGCTTCTGCAAAGCTCACATTATGGAAGCTAGGGTGAATTATAACACGCTTTACATAAGTTTGTCTCTGTTGTGCTTTTTTAACATCTTCTTCAACCTTTTTATCTTTTTCCTCTGTTTCCGCATCGTAGTAAACATCCTTTTGTGGTCTCCACTCATGATTCTTGTCTATAAGGTCACTAGTTTTACTTGTACATTCTACGCTGAATCGTTCCACTTCAATTTTTATTATGCGGCAATGGATCACCTGACCAACATGGACCCTTTCTTCTGGGTTAGTGACATGTTTATCAGATAAATTTTTTATGTGAATATAACCAGATATTCCATTATCTAGTCTCAAACGTACTCCAGTCGCTTTTCCCGGACAAGATCCAGCATCGAAGTGGTTCCATACCTCTGACAGTTCAGGGAAATCATTTTTCAAACAGAATGGACACTGCCATAAACCTGTCTCGTCATTTCTAACGGGATTCGCCTGATCTAACTGATCTCCTTGCGGTTTCCTATGACTTATTCCAACTACTGTTGCTAAGACTAATTTACCAACATAGAATGATTCAAGAGTCTCTTTGGTTAAAATGTCAAATAATTTCTCTGCGTTTGGGGTTTGGTATAATACGCGGAGATCTTTGTATCTAGAATTCAATTCAGCTCTTATGTCATAAAGTGTAATACACTTATTTCCAAAGCCCTGTCTTTCCAATTCTTCGGCAAACGCATCTAAATCTAAATCCTTCAATCTTTCTGGTGATTCAAGAATTTCTTCCAAAGCTCCAGCAGGATTTGCATCTTCATCATCATACTCCAAAGCATCTACTGCCATTTTTCTTGCCCATTCATACGTTTCTGGATGCACACGGGAACCGTCTAACACTTCTACATATGCTTCAGTACTGTCCCCTAAACTATTTGTATCTATCTTAACGAAACCAGCACAATTAACAAATACTTTAGGGCCCATGTGACAAGCGGTTATGAGCTGTGTTCTATTCTCCAATCTTTGATTAGTTTGTTTCAGAATTTTCATCAATGATTGACTTTTTCTAGGTCCTAAACCACATACAAATTGTACTAAGTTTGCAGTATAAGGTTGTTGGACAGCTCTATTTAAATCTACTCCCACTTCATTCACACGATTTATAAATTCTATGTGTAAATTCTCAACAAGCTCATCTTTAGATAGTTGATCTTGCAAAGGATGATATCTAAGGCACAGAAATTCTTCATCTATAGTACATAATTGTGAAAACTCTAGCAATGGATCTTGTAATCTTCTAGCTAAGGATATAGCTTGTCTCAGGAGATCTGGATAATCCCTGAAATCTGATATACCTCTATTACTGTTTGAATAGACTTTACTTAATTCATTATCACATATCTCTACTTGGATCGTAGGAAACTGTTCTTCTTCTACTAGATTTGTAATACATTCCTTTATGTCAGATACTATCATTAATGCTTCTCTAGATTCGCCGCTGACTACCACAACGTGTGGTTTTTTTGTAGCAATAAAATTTTTAATTGCTAATAAATCAGCCTCCTTCATCATTTTTTCGTTTTCTCTAAAACCATTTTTTCGCTTCAGTAAATGTGGCAGTCTCAAGTAATCTGTGCATTCTCCGTCTGGAGAAATTATACAAGCAAACGCTGCTTGAGATTGATCAGGTACATAAGCTAAACCCATCACTCGAATTCCTTTTTTAGTATCCCAATCATCATCATCCTCATCAGGAAATTCACAGTTGTACGGGGCAATTTTTATCCAATTATACATTTTGCGACAACAAGCTTTCATAACGCATTCCTTTGCCTCTGTTAGAAGATTGGACCGTAGTTCCTTTTTTAATTGTGGTATTAGAATACGATTTAAAGCTATTTCAACACTATTGGTTCTCAATGTATTCCAGTCTTGCACATTTTTACTAAACTCGTCCCTATAGTACAGTTGCTTTACTTCATCAATATAGTTACTAGTAGTATTTCCATCTATCACGTCGCTAAATGTCAGCGTAACCAACTTATCTTCTTCTCCCATAACTAATTTTAAGAATTGATCACCAACAAGATCCGCTACAGGTTTATTTTTAACATATTTCAGCGCATAAAGTGGATGATTTTCGTCAATTTCTTTTATTCCTTTCTTTGTCGGTTTCACGGATAACTTTGCTCTTTCCATGTACATTTCTCTAACACACTTGCGGGCTAATGGTTCATGTCCTAATTGAATTGCTACCATTAACTGTACTGCTTTAAGCACTTCATCATCCGTTTTAAAAGTTTCTGAACAGAATTCATTAGCTACTACACTAGGTTCTGCTGGTTCTTGTTCTACTTCGTGACGTTGATAATTGTCTCTGAGATTTTCAGCAAAATGCTCAGGCGAGAGACCAAATTTTTTAGCGAGGCCATCCAAACCAGCCTTCCTACAAAGATAATATGGACCCTTCCGAATTGGCTGTTTTAATGTGTCTTCAACTTCTTCTTCCAAATCTTCTACCTCAAATGTTTCTTCCGGAGGATCTTCTCCGTTTTCTTCGGCTTCTGCAATCTGTCGCTTCCTTTTCTCAATTCTAGCTTTTTTTCGTGCATCCTTCTCTTTTCTATGTAGAGCTTGCTGCATAGCTGATATATCTTGACTATAATACAGCATAAAGTGCCGATAAATATCATTCAATTCTTCATTGGTCTGGGCGATTTTGAGTCGTTCGATATCATCGTCTTTAATGATTCGTATATTATCAGGTAGCGGAGCATCCGGATTTTTCATGATTTCATCTAATTGGAAGTCCCTCATCTTTTCAAACAACTTCAACAAATTTTGTTTTCTTTGTTTCAACTGGCACCATTTCGTGTCAAATTTATATATTTTCCACAAATCATTAATATTTAATTCTGGCAGGACATATTCCTTTCTGTAAAATGAAATGAAAGGAACTTCAAAACTCTGATTACGCATAAAATCTAGAGCCTTCTTAATCTTGCCAATTGTTTGTGGACCCTTCTTTGCTCTTTCTTTGGCTTCTTCATTTAAGTGAGCATCTTGTATTGAAATCGTCGGTTGACAGAATGCTTGTTTGTAGATCCACTCTGCTTCAAGATCTAATTCATCTGAACCTTCCACTGTTGGTGTAAGTGGAACAGATCGTATTTGCATACGTTCCGGAATGTCCGTAGTACGAATCTGAAGCATTATATTTACATTTTTTTATAGAAATCTTCTTTTAAACATTAATAATCGCATTAACAGTATTTTTAATTATTTTATTACCTCGTTATCGACATCGGTAAAATGACCACGTATAAGTTCACTAGGTTCGTAGATTTCAAAGATACTTTTCTTTGTACTCTTTTTCTTTATATGTTTCTTCGATCGCCTTGGACGATCTTCTGCTTCCTCCTGAAGATATTCATCATCTTCTTCTTCCTCCTCTTCGTATTCGTCCTCCCCATACCTCTCAAATTCTTCATAATCAAAATCGATACCAAAAATATCTTGGGCTTCTTGTAAAGCACTGCATTGATAATATAATCAATCAATTTATGTAAAAAATGTATACATGCATTATTTTTATACTGTCAATATCTCTTACGCGTCAGAAAAAATAGGTTTCTTTTTTTTTCTTTTTTCAGCTATGGGTACACCATCGCCATCCACGATAAAATCATCTTCATCTTCACTTTCCTCTTCATCATATCCATCTGCATCAACTCTAATACTATGGCTAATTTCACTTTTTTGTTCATCCTCCTAGAAGCAAAAATAAATCATTAGAAAAATTTTTACTATAGTAGGTTTATGATAAACTTACATCCCCAGAGCCTTGAAATAATTCATTAGCTATTGCATCTCTTCCATCATCTACCTCTCCCTCTTGTTCACCTTCTGATTCTTCATCTTGTATTCTGCGGAGACGTTTAAAACGATGTTTCTAAAAAGGCGAATAATGTGAAATTTATGCAGTCATACTTTAGATTATTTAACTTTTTTAACATTCTCTATTTACCCTTTCAACTTTAACTCCTAAATTTTCTTCCAACAAATCATAATCTTCATCTTCCAAACGGTCATCAAAATCTTCATCATCACTTTTTTTACGTTTTCTAGAATCATCTGATCCATCACTATCCTCACCATCATTTTCATCGATTGGATTATCATCAATGAGTCCATCAACTTCCCCATCTACAAAATTTTTATATTTTTTATGCATCTTAAATAAAAAGGTATGTAATTTTAACTTCTTATGCTGGAATAACTTGTCAGATGTTGATTGTTAATTGTCATGAAAACAAAAATAACGTGAGTGGCACGTTCACAGAAAGCAATATTATTTTGTACAGTAAATGAGCAACACATTAGTTTTAAATATATTTAAATATAACACAAGCAAAAGAAATAATAAATTTATTACTTCTTATATTGAAAACTGTGAAAACAGTGATGTAGCTTTATCTATAGCAGAGGGAATATAATAAGTAGTGGGACATGAAGAAAATGAAATAAAACAGACATACTGTATATCTGTATAAGAATTGTCTATAAACAGAATTATTGCATGCTTAAAATATGTGCAGAAAGAATTCTTGCCGCTGCCAGTGCTCTACTTTTACGGCTCGCGTCGAATTGTTGAGTACGTTTGATCACGCGTATCCGTGAACCAGTTGCCAGCGTGAAAGGTTAAAATAAAATGAAGATAAATGAAAATAGGCTATTTTATACCTTCATCATCATCTTCCTCGTCGTCACTATCGTGCATAGCTTTTAGCCTCTTTAATTTCTTTCTCTCAGCAACATCGAGCTCTTCTTCCTCCTAGAATGCCACGAAATTCTAGGTTATTCAGAATCATCTAATTTTATTGTCTGTTTATTAAACGTTTCAATACATACCTCACTTTCTTCGGCTTCAGCATCTAAGTAATCAGCCATTTCTTCTTATGAATATGAACTTGTTTCGAAAATGATATACAAAAAGAACAATAACAAAGCAAACGATCAAGTTCATACGACAAATATTTTAGGAATGGAGAGTAACGCGTCATCTGCACAGCTGTTTAATATATATAAAGGCTTGCTTGCAAAGGAGTACACCCAATCAGCTGATATAACCGCTAGGCGATTGGTTGAATCTTTTCTCATTCTTCTTTTTTATTTGCTATGGACTTACAACCGGAAATAAATTGTTCGCTATAGTACTTTCCTGTCTGATTCGTTGTTTGTCTACGACCAAGTAACCAACTAAATTTCTCAATAGCGTGATAGCGTTGAACATAGAAACCGCGAGGTGAAAACGTGGTGATGCAACGTGTGAAATGATCAAGATACGAATTTGAAAAGATCAACTCCTCCACGAGCATGTTGACTAAACAAGAATCTGCGAGTGATAGCCTTTTGGAAAGGCTTGTCAAGAGTGATGAAAATAAGGTTAAGAAATGCCGGAGGAATAGCGCGGACAACATTGAAGGGCATAAATTACGACATGGCACAGACAGTTTTCCAAACATTAATGAAAGACCGGTCGATGATATTTCTATTGAATTCTTTTATAAACCACACAGCATTACATTGCTCCTAATAGCAATCGGTGCTGTTATATATTCAGCCTTCACTAGGTATTTAAATATTTCGATTACTTTGTCACGCAGATCCCTCATTATGCACGTATAAATTATTTGATTATTTAACACAGGAGTACGACGAGTGTTGAAGATAACATTTGGGCTGGAATACTTTGCATCATATTTTTTTTTCTAATTATATCAATACTTACATTTCCAAATGGACCGTTCACAAGACCTCATCCAGTGGTTTGGAAACTTGTATTTGGTTGTAGCGTGCTGTATCTAATGGGACTATTGTTTTTATTATTTCAAGATTATGATACAGTAAAAAAAATTTTTGTGTGGATAGATCCTGCCTTGGAATCATTTCACATCGATATGGACAAAGAATATGGTGTTAATTGTTCAGATATTACATTAGAGAAGATATGGAATCATTTAGACATTTTTGCAGTGGCCCATTTCTTGGGTTGGATGTTCAAAGCTATTCTTATTAGGCATCTTGGTATTTTATGGGCTATCAGTGTTATGTGGGAAGTAACAGAGATAGCATTTGCTCATTTACTACCAAACTTTATAGAATGTTGGTGGGATGCTTTTATACTCGATGTTTTAGTTTGTAACGGATTAGGTATTTGGGTGGGGTTAAAAATTTGTTCTCTTTTGGAAATGCGAGAGTACAAGTGGGTCAGCATTAGAGACATTGAAAGCACTACTGGAAAGTTGAAGAGAGCTATGTTACAATTCACACCTGGTAGTTGGACTGCTGTTAGATGGTTAGATCCAACTTGTACATACATGAGATTTGTCGCTCTTTGTCAGTTGGTTATTTTCTGGCAAGTGTCAGAACTGAATACATTCTTTTTGAAACATGTATATGAATTTCCACCCTCTCATCCATTCGTTGTGGCAAGGCTGGTGTTGGTTGGAGTAATTGTTGCACCGTCAGTTAGGTAGGCCAAAGTTATTGCACCCAGTTAATATATAGTATATGAATATTAATAAAACAGGGATATTAAAATTTTTATTGAATACTGCTTATTTTGAGTGATATAATATTTACATAAATTGTAGGCAATACTACATGTATGTAACAGATCCAGCATGCAGTAGAGTAGGGACACAATGTTGGGTATATGGTGCAATTATGGTTACAGAAGCATTACTATGTATAAGACATGGTGCTTCACTATTTGAACGTACTCAAGCATTAAATATACTCTTATGGTTGCTTTGTCAATCTCTAGTCTCCGTTCTTTGTGTCTATGGCTGTGTTCTTTGGCATCAATACTTTGAGGTATGTGTCCTGCTGCTCCTGTTTTTTAGAGTGAAAGTATCGTTCACCTCGTAACTAACTGTATGATTATTTGTGTTTTCTTTTATGCCTTTTGCATGGCTCTCGTCTTTTCAGACTGAAAAGAAAGCTACTACAAAACAGTCAGTTACCCAGCTAGGCAACAACCATGTGGACGTAATTCATAGCACTGGTATGTGTTGATGTCTACCACAGTCTTTTGAAGTGTGCATAACGTATCATACTAAGCCGATAGTGTACTGAGCTATTGATTTATAATTAACAACTACTAAATATAAAACAAGAGTGCCACCCAAACATTTTAAAGTCTATTACCTAATCAACACGAATGGTATCAAAGCAGAGGAAATTGTGTCATGGATGCTTCATTTCATGTCCCCAACATTGAAAAGTACAGATTTTTTAATGCGTTGCATAACGTATTTGAACAATATTAAAAAAATATATAGTAAGTGTAACAGAAACTTGTGATCCATGTAAATGCATCTGCATGCACAAAGACATTTCTGACTTATTATATATGTTCGTATGTATTATTGAAATATTAAAAAACACGTGATCAGAGCTCAGTTCATCATTGGTTCAAAAAATATTAGTGTAATATACAATTTTAGCAATTGAGATATGTGTTTTAGGGAGTATGGTTCTTTCTACAAAACCTGTGGATACATTGGAAAAGAAGCAGTTGTAAACAAGTTCACAGCAAGAAACGAACGACTTAAGGGTGAAGTGTTAACACTATCAAACTTTCTAGTCGCATTATGAAAACGTACGAGAAGAGTATATAAATTTAGTAGATTATTGATGGATGTATGAGCTCATCTGAGTTTCGCATATTGCGTCTGTTCGCCTGTGTGAATGTTATGAAGAAAAGTATCGTTACCATTTAATATATCAGGCTTCCTTATATATAAAAAAAATCAAAAAAAGAAAATAATCAGTCAGTATATCATTTACGTAACAGTCATTGCGCTTACGAAGAACTGGGAAGGTGTGGAAATACACCGCAGTTAAGACTTGGAATTATCCTCGAACCCTCCGGACATTTCCAAGCGTCGCCTAGGAGTCTATCGTTAGATGCAGAAACAAAGATGCGTATGCGACTCGGTAACTGCTCGTCTTCGTACAATGATATATACGACGACGTAAGTGGTAACTTTGTACAGTGCATCTGTAAAAAGAACGAAAATATGAACAGTTCTGTTTATAATAGTAACCGTCTTAATAATTGTAGATATAAAACGTTAATGCCATGACTTGCATTGTAATAAGAGTACCTGAGCATATGTGAGATAAAATAACTGATCTGAAACAAGTTCAAGCCATGGAAGATGAACTTCCTTATGAGATCTCATCTTATGAGATCTTAATCGATCCAAAGTGTCATAAGCTAATCTGAGTCCCATCGTCTCGGATAATCGTTCGTTTAGTGTCAATTCCGAAATCTGAAACGTTTACGTGGACAAAGTGTACGGTCGCTTTTAACGAGCAAAGTATACCGAAAAGAATATTTTAGTTTGAAATAATATTTTTAAATTTCAAAGATTTTATAGAGGAAGAAAGAGAGAAAGAGAGAGAGAGAGTGAGAGAGTGAGAGTGAGGGAGTGAGATAAGAGAGAGATGGGAATATATGTTCTCACACTGAAATACACAGTCTGCTTAGTAGATGGTAATGTCATATCCAAACGATTCCCATAAAGAACTTTGTGACATTCTATGTATCCTGTGACATCGAAGTCTTTATCGGTGTCGGTTGACCGAGAGTCGTCACCCCTAATAATAGCTGCTGTACAGAAAATCATATTGTTGGACATTTAGGTTGATGGTACCCCACAGTTCCTTGATAGATTTACTCTTACGGATTTATAATATTGTATACTATGATATTATTATGTATTGTTACAATTACCATTTGCGTCGAAATGATGAGCTATTTGGTGCGCTATTGTGGTGCCAAGCGTCGCCAACTTAATATAATAAAACGATGGTTCGTCGTACTTAGCGGACCAGTCGATCGCGCCGAACGGTATTACAACCAGATTTAGTTCTCGAATCGCAAGCCCCTTAGATTGAAACGGTGTTGCGTGATATGTCCAACTGCGGATTAAACCATCGAATACAATAACTCAGAAACGTTCGTCGCGCATCTTTACTGTAAGCAAGCAACTTACATTTGTTCAGGGTGACTTGCATCCGTGATCAATTGGGCATACATCCGCGCCCGATAGTTTCGCATTAAATTCATAGAATTATTCACATAGTTGTCCGTTAGATATATCTGCAATTAAATTGCTATT